TGCCTTTCATTCCCAAGGGATCAATCTGAACAGTATGACAAATGATAAAATAAATTCAATCATATTGACGCGTGGGTTGCTTGTTCGTAAATTTTCCAGATGCTGTCATAATTTATCAAAGATTGTTTCTCGCTGAAGCTCAGTTATTTCGTTCAGATATATGTATCTCCCATTTTCTTAATTGAATCATTAAATGTCTGCAGTGGATTGTATTCATTTCAGCATGGATAATAATCAATAGGTAGAGGAAGTGAGGGCAAAATGAACAATAGATGTGTTTTGAGGCTTATTTATCAAAATGTCAATCATCAAATTTAACACACAGGCCTTTCAATCGATGTATCTTCTACCCCTTCAATCTTGTACATGTACAGAATAAAAATCCAATTCATTAGACTGGAAAAAGCGCCACATAAACCAACATCACCATCGGGTAGGGGAAGACTTCCCCGAGTCATGAAGTTCTAAGAAAAAACAACCCAAAATTAAGTTTATTTCACCCACCTAGGTACTAAAGTGTGGGATGCCAAAAGTAAGTAAGGTTCCATTACTCAATTTTGAGAACTCGCACCAAAGAGGCTTGGATGGGGAAGTAATCGTTTGGATATATTTTACGTAGGGTTAGTGTACTAGTCTTGACATTAGTGATCCAATTTTTAGGCCTAGGACCCTAATCAAATTTGAATTTTTTTTTTTTTTATTTATTATTATAGTCACTTTAACACTCTTGGGTCATTCGTGACTTGTCCGGGGTGAGATTTGAACTCGTGACTTTGGCGTGAGAGGTATGGATGTTAACCACTACGCTGGGGTCGCCCCCACCAGATCATCAAATTTGAAATAAATTGGCATGGTTTTATTTTCATCGATGTATGGCAAAACATATGTTCGAAAATAATGTAAAAGTGTTAAATTTAAGATAGGGCCAATCCAATGACTACCAAGGCCTAAAACTGGTAAACGTTACTGTCCATTAACATAATATTTCTTGCTGAAATCATAACATTCATAAGTTGACTTACTAAAAGCACAGTGTCTCTAAAACGTGGTAATAACTCTATATCTTTATCTTCATTTTTTTTTTTTTTTTTTTTTATTAAAGAGCGAAATTGCCTTACAAGGTTTGTTTACAAAATGGAGTTAGGGTTATTTAAATTGTAAGTCTTGATATGTAACAGAGCGAGTTTATCATGACAACCAACAATTGAAATGGCCTTAACTCCATTTTGTAAACAAACCTTGTAAGGCCATTTTCTCGCGAACCGAAACCTTCATTCGCAAACCTAAACCACAATCGGGTTGAGGAGAATTTCCCCTACCTGTTCATTATGTTGGTTTGCCTTTGCGGACTTCGGTTCACGAGAAAATGGCCTTACAAGGTTTGTTTACAAAATGGAGTTAAGGCCATTTCAATTGTTGGTCTTGAACTCTACCATACGGCTTATATAATGTTTGCATACATTGCAAAAAGGGTGATAAGAAGGCAACTAAGGTATTTCTTGGTTATTTGGATGCCGTCTGTAAAAGCTTCCAGAGAAGCTTGGTTGAAACTTTCAGGCCTAACGTAACGTAAGAAGAGACTGTGGAACTTCGGGTTGGATATATTTTCTGGAGGAACTTGGAATAAACATCCCGAAATAGAGATAAATATTCAAAACATCCCAAATTAAATATTAAAATTTCCGGGGAAGCTGGAGGACATTTCCGGGGAATATCAGAATAGAGAAAATAAGATGCATCTTTCTGGATAAGTTGGAAATAACTTTTAGGAAGATCTGGTATAAATTTTAGTGGCTAGCTGATATAAATGTCCGAGGATAGCTTGAAGAAACTTGCGGAGAACATTGAAAGAAACTCCTTGGTCGCTAGATAAAAATATTTCCCAATTTCCGGGAGGATCTATCAGCTATTTTGCGATGCTTGGGTAGCCTATGCTTCAGACACAGAAAAACATACATAACACTCGCATGTTGTTCATCGAACAAGTATTTAACGGTCAAATTAAAGTTTCTTAGTGGCATCATCACCCCCATAAACAATGAAATAAATATATAAGCAACGGATATATATCTTATGTCGCGTGCTCCTTACCTCTACATTTTATTTGTCCGTAAAATCATGTCGCTTGGGCAGTAATAATGTGTTTTGTGATAGTTGATTGAATTTGCTCAAACATATCGGAAAATCAACCAGACACCATCTGGTACACTTCAGTTGCCAACTCATATTTGTCCAAAAACTATGGTTAAAGTGGTTAATCATCCCCACCGTTTCGATGAATCTCATCGTCGCCCACTGGTCACCATACCTGGTCGAACTCCAGACGAAGCTAGAACCGCACTACCGTTCATACTGACAACGCTCTGATGAGACAACGAAACCCCACCCCTAAGCTACCCTCTCCTATCCTTCAACAATGTACCCCTTTAACCTCGGGTAAGCCGCGAGTATTGGGCCCAACTCCTACTAGAAATAGATAGAATTTTGGCAAAAACAATAAACAATGAATTATTGGCTCCATAAAGCTAACGCGATTGAGCCTTCCAAATAAATGAACTAGTTAAAAAAAAAAACTGGTTAATCATAATTTCGACCGACACAAATTGGTCACTTACTGCTCTAAGACCCGAGCGAATTTAATGTCAATCTCTTCAAGGGTTTGCTCATTGTTATATGCGATGAACGGCTATTTGAATGGAGTTGTCAGTTTTGTGACTTGTTGCCTCCGGTGTAGCCTTCAAATATATTGCTACTCAAATATTCGAAAGACTTCGGTAGGTAGATAACAAACTCACAAGAGACACTTAAAATGATGGAATTTTCAATTTTTCTTCCATGCCAGTCTGAGGGTTGTCATGGGTATTCCATTTAACAGCGTACAGTTGACAGAGAACGTAATCTTCCATATCTGCGTATTCCCACTTCGGGGGCTATGCACAATGGTCATCATGGTATGGTTTCATCTTGTCAATTGGTACGTTTGTAAATTCTCCTGACTTATACCGCCGCTTATGTTCTGCTATCGGAAAGCTTGAAACTAATAACGGACAGTGTTGAGATAAAATCGACAGTGAGCATGCATAAGGGCCTATACGCGATGATCGATTCTCTTCGTCAATTTTCTCTTTTGTTAATAACTAGCTAGATTTAACGTTTCTCGTTGCGTTTGCTGTTGCTTTTGATAGCCAATACAACCTGTTATTACTCTGCATTGAACAAATTCTAGAAAATTGTTTCGCCTAGCTGTAGCAATGCAAAGAGAAAATCGATGAAGAGAATCGATCATCGCGTATTCGCCCTTATGAATGCTCACTGTCGAAATACAATATCACGGAATAGCCATTGTAGCCACCATGAATAATGCACGAATGGTGCACTCGTCTGTCACTGATGACTGGTTGAAATCAATTGATTTTTTTCAAAAACGCTTCACTCGCAAGCCAGATCGCCTGAGACAGATTGGTTGAAAAGCGTGCCTAATTGGATTTCTGATAACTCAATCGTCATCGGCCGGTTGATTGGAAAATGTATAGACCTAACTAATGGGGCAAGTTGAAACGGTTTTAATAAAGCTGAACTTTGAGGCCCTCTGGAATAATCATAAAGTTACATGAGCCGGATGTTTTTGCACCAAAAGTTTCGTAAAAGGATCTTTTATCATGAATATGGTAAGTAATCAGGAAGAACGATGTAGACACGTAGCCGCTGATTTTAATACCATTAGTTTATCAATTTCGGTTAGTAGTCAATTTATTTATACATTTACATTATTAAGTTAAGCGGCGCTGGTGGTGTAGTCGTAAGCGTAATTGAATCTCACCCCAAATGGCCTGGATTCAATCCCAGTCGGCGTCGCAGGGATGTTCTGAGGCATAACATCTCTGATCAGAGGAAAGTTAAGCCGTTGGTCCCCGGTTCATGAGTTGATGGGTTGATAAGTAGGGTCCAGGTGTGGGAGCTGCCTCCCTGGCGTCGGTAGCAGTAGTGGTCAGCACGGAAAACAAACCAAAGGAAAAAAAGAAGCTTAATGTGCTTCAACATATTGAAATGATTTATTTCACTGATAATGGAACATACACCATTTCAACTTGCCCCATATCGTGCAAAAATGGGGGGCAAGCTGAAATGCTGACTATATTTTTTGGAACTTCATTTGTCCCCTGGTTTTTCTATATCATCACTCCAACTAGCCTCCATTTGCTTCCCTAGATGGGTAAAATACAGAAAAGTCAACTTTTTTGAGAAGATCGAAGCAATGCGTATGGTGGGTGAGCCAGTAGTGGAGGAACTAAGACAATTTATTTAAAAAAAAATAAACGATGTACATACAATTTTTATACGTCAAACTATAGATTTCAATCTCTATTTTGCTAGAAAAATAGCACATCGTAATTAAATTGTATACATTTTTCGAAAACTTGTCCTCGATTAATGGGAACACGGTTCCAGTAGTAGTGGTAGTTGCTAACTTTGGTTCCTATAATAGTGGAACGAATTGGTTTCTTATGGGTTCCACTACTGCAACTATAGGTGCAAAGGAGACAAAATCTTAAGGGAAATCAATTGTTTTCCGTGATTTTTGGGGTAATTTTATGTTTGATAAATGCAAATATGCTTTATTTTAGGTGAGCTATCGATGAAATATAACGTTATCCAGTTTTCCCTCATTATTCAGGCACAACCTTCATACCGTAACTAAAGGTACACCACTATTACTGGAACACCAACCCTAAATAATGTGTTGTAAATTTCATATAAAATTAAAATAAGCAAAGCTGAGGAGCACGCTTAGCTGTTTGTAAGTTATGAATTGTAACTACTCAATTTCACACTCATAGGATTCGTTTAAGTTTATATTTTACTGTTAAAATAATTCAGTGATAACTCACTTCTGCATATAGTTATGATTTCCATTTTAACTTACCCCGCATTTAAACTTGCCCCGGTGTACCTTATATGGAAAAGAATATTTTTTAAATATATTTTGTTTTTCGTTACAGGTTGTAAAGGACTTATCCCGTCTCGTGGTGTAAAACGGTTAGTTGTATTTTCATTTATTAATTTTCCGCGTATAGCAAACATTAAATACTTAAAACTTAAATAAAGAATGGGTTTCTAATATTCACTGTACATTGCGCAAGTAAAGGCAGTAACGGTATTTATAAGCGCTTTGTTAATTTCATTATATATAGCCTCAAGCTGTGAAACGTTGCTCAATATATGGGTATCTGGCTAGCTATTAATGGATCACAGGATTTAGGCCAAGAATTTGCAACATAATAAACATGTGTGATGATTATGAACGATGACATAAGGTGACATGTTTCAATTTAAGTGCTACTTTGAGCATGGTAGGCATATATGATCAACTTTTAAAGACTAAGTGTCTGGATTTCAGTGCATAGATCTGAATTAAAAATTTTGACGTAAAATGGAGCTAAAATAAAAACGTATGATAAATGACGACATCGACAATGAAGTCACTGAGCGCTCATTTTTTGCATTAGTATACGTCATAATCCAGAGCATCGATTGGACATAATATAGCGATCTAGAACATTCTAGAACATCAAATGAAATAGTTAATAATTAATTAATTAATTAAGAGATTGGTAATCTTATGACATGATCAAGCAACTGTGTTTTAACTATATCATAATTCTAGAAGTCTTAATATCCATTTGTATATTTTGTTTATAACTGACGCTCAGTATCGGCAGTCAGAATTCAATAACTTTTAGTTGCGAGTAAGTTGACTTGATGTCGTTTTCAGAAAAATCGAAAATTCCAATTTTCAGCCGCTAATTAATTTGATATCAAATTAGGCCAAAACAATTTTTAAAAGAGGCATTAACTCCACAACCTTTTCCAAGATTGCTAAGGCTACTGAGATCATGAAATAGTGTAAAAATATATCGTACTGTGGGTGCAGAAAATTCGAAAAACTATGTTGTCACAGTGTGCAAAATTTATAAGAGGAGCAAAATCTAAGATCATAAATATACCTTAATCGTTATGTGCTTGAACAGTAGGGTGCCCAGGATTTTGACACTTTTTTTAACAATCATCTGTGTCACAGAGCAGCAGCAGTTACCTATGCGAACCTGAGTCTCTGGTTCGAATTTGAGTCAAATTGGTCAACATATATCCATTTTTAAAGCAGGTTGAAATTTGTATGGGAAAAATCATCAACTTGTTTGGAGACATACCATGACTTGCTACTACGTGATTGATAAAAACTAGTAAAATTGCACAATGAATCAACTAAATGACTGATTTCCTTTATCTAAAAGCTGAAACTAAACATAACTAATTTAAATCAATGGCGTCTAATAAGTCTAATGATGCAGATTCAAACACATCGACTTAAAATACCACCTGCTTTACCATCATTTGATCGAGGATTGACTAAAATAAAAACCAATTTTTCTAACTTTTCCCACGCTCTACGGGATTTCGAATTATGAGCAAAAGCTAAACTCATAACCAGCTAATCCAAACACATAAAGCAACCAACGATACAGCCAAAAAGGTTGCTACGACTACCATGACAAACTCGCTCTGTAACAAAGCTCGATCTTAGTGGTAGAAGGATAATGATATATTGCTTGCCTGCTTTGTTGCAATATACACGGATGAGGACATAGGTAGCTTGACCTGAATCGATAAAAGACAAAAAAAAAAAAAAAAACCATTAACACACGTGTATCATCTTCGGCTTTACTTCGTGAAGCAGCTACCGCCCCGAGTGAGCTGTGTCGCACGGGCTGCTTGTCATGAAAAAAGGAAGAATATTATATCATTATTGCTTTCCAATTCTGACATTGCGTTATCATTCGGTTCGTTGATCGCTTGTCATTTGGAGATATTTTTGATTCCTTCCCTAATAAAATTGTTAGGTTATTTTTCTCAACGACGTGTTCCGAGTATCATCCAAACCATTTGTGGAATAGTACTATTATAGAGGTTATCGTTCGTTTATGGGTTTTTTTTATTCGGTTTGCTCATAGCACGTACCTACTAGCAACAACAGATCAGGCGCGATTGAGGTTATCCCTCCAGGTAACAAACGGGAATCCAGAACAATGATAATAAGTTTATAAGAATGTTTTTCAACTGGAACAAACTCACCAACTTATTCATGATCGATGTCCAATGTAGCGAATTCATACATTATGAATTTAAATTGCTCCACTTTTGCATTAATTTGATTCAGAAATGGCAGAAAACGACCCGGATCTCGTCAAACCTATACAAAGTCTAGATAGAGCTGGAATTAGGGCGTAACAGCTTTTGTGAACAATGACTTCTAGGAACCAAAATAACCATCGGATAGGGGAAGTCTTTCCCTACCTGATGAGGATGTTAGTTTGCGTGGGCAAGCCTTGAATTTCTAGAAAATTTCTAAAATGATTTAATCATCTATAAAAGTCATTGTTTACAAAAACTGTTGGGCCCTAATTCCAGCTCTATCTATATTTTCCAGTTGTAGTGCATTGAAAAGAAACATACTTCACTCGAAAATGTACCGAACATAAATTTACGAAATTATTAAAAAAAACCCTTCCGCCAACCACAAATACAGATTCTGTTCATGCGGTGAAACCTTTCAGTTCTGTAGATGGTACATAACTGTAATATAATCTTACGTTTAACCGTTGGGTGTACAAGAATTGCAATCATTCCTAGTAAACAATACAACTATCTGAATAGTTTTCATTGCATTAGTACTTCATTTAAATTTTTAAATTGGTTCAAGGAAAACCTTACCAACTCCTCTCGCAGACTGCCTTGAAGCACTTTTGTAAGGTATATTTCATTCTTTTTAGCTTTTCTGAGAAGCCAGATCACCGTCAGGCAGGTGGATAAACATTTTCCAACCATATAGCACTGACGGGCACTGTGTTTTTAACAAGCGCAGCTCGAATCCCATGGGAGGCAACGAGGATTGATCAAAAGCCGTTTCCAGTGTCCTTCACATTCTCCATTTCTTCTTCGCTGTCTGAGAAGTGGTGAAGGCGAAGTTCACACGACACAGTTCAAGAGAAAGTGGTACTTTCAGGTTCAGGACTGAGTGTGCTTCCTAAAGTGGATACTTTGTTTTCATTTTTCGAGTGGCTTTCTAAATTTAATTGTTCCTATGAATACCCTTAACGGTGTGAAATTTCATATAAATACCATCGCGAGACCGGTTGAAACGAGAGTTGGTAGAAAGTGTTTTCATAGGAAAACGAAAAACAAAATTAATGCTCAATAGTCTACTAGGCATATCAAACGTAAGAAGTTCACTCTCTTCTCGGAATTCGATGGAATTTTCCGTCGTATTTTTACACTGCCACGTCCCTGCGTCTCGTTCTTCTGAGTTGGTTCCAGTAATGTGTCGGAACACGTTGTATCCGGAAATTGTTATCATCGTTTGTTACACATCTTTGTCGTGATTGATTTGTAGCAGGCAGATAATTTGATTATCGTCCTTGACGAACGAAAATGAAAGGAGTGTTTTAGTAGTATCAACGCCCAACGCAAAACCAACACCTTCTACACTGCCGTTCTACGCATAACTGTCCCATGTTCCATGCAATCCTTATGCACCGTGGGACTCTTTTGCGTATAACGGCAGTACAGCACTCGCTTATAACAGTTCAATAAAATTTCGTTACGCCCGGTCTACATTAGTGCCAGCTGCTAGCAAAAATGGTCACCAGCAAAATTCAGCAGTTGCCGGAAAATTATTTTTATCTTCACGCCAGTTTTAGGCGCTCCTGAATTTGCAAGCTAACTGACATTTTGGTTTCCAGCATGGTCAGCTGCTCGCATTGTGTCAACACTTACTTCATCCTGATGGTGCTTTTTGGCAGCAGAAAAATTATCGTCGCTACTGAACCAGCATAAGTGTAAACCGGGCATGAAGCATATAGATATGGACCATAAATAGGTACTTACTCGCATAGTATCCCACGTCATTGTTCACGTTGAGAATGCCAATTTCCTCGCTAGCCAGCATGTGAGAGTCCCAGACTTTTCGGTAATCCGGATCGTGCAGCACGTCGAATAGGATATCCGCCGTTACGTCAGCGAACTCGGTATGAATTTTCACCATGTTGAAGTTGCATCCGGGAACCGGACGTGTGTACACCTGCGTATCAGATTTTGAAAGCTCCAGCGTCCAACCCTCGTGATCGTCCACTAGTCGCTTCAGCGCCTCAAAGTCACTGTCCTCAGCTACCCGTGCCATTCCTTTGCCAGATGATTACTCTTCCGTTTGTACTGTAGAGATTTGGTCTCGGTAAACTGCAAAAGAGGTATAGGGAGACGACAACAAACATTTACTTCGTGATTACTCTCGTTTATACGACATCCGCAGGGTATTACAACGAAATCAAATTATGGTGGTAACCGGAAAAACGTGATTTGGGACGAGTGTTACCGCGCACACAAATTCATACAAACATAAACACTGCCCCCGGAAGGCAAAGGTCTCGAATATTTGCTGGCCTTTTTGCACGGTCATCATATTCCGGTTCGGTGACGGCCGTAGTTAAAGACCATTTCATGATTCATCAAACTTACACATACTTTTTTGTTCTTCGATGAATTTTGGACATCCGAAATGTCAGAGCAGCATGGAGCCGCTAGCTTAGGGAGGAAAACTAATAACAAAGCTGAAAACATAGTCTGATGGCTACTTGATTGAAATTATGTAATTACTTTGTAAAGGAAAATGACTGACATGTCTTGTTGATGATGGTGTGTTGATTCAATTTTACCATTTATTTCAACATATTTACAGTCGCAGCGGAAAATATGAGGCGTTTCATTACATGAAGAATACATATGATACGACTTTCACCCACATGGTTCATAAATATTTTTTTTTCCATAAATCGGATTTTATTACTCAACGGTGCCATAGTTAATATACCATTCATGTTTACCATGTCGTTGGTCTCGAATTGCCGAAAGCTGTTTTGGAAATCAATATCCTTATAGCTTTACTCGTGAGCTGCTTAGGCATAAATCCTCCTAGACTCAATAGGTGGTATAAATATGTATGACGATAATAACAGAAGGAATAGATGACAAGAAAGGTAACCAAGCTTCGCATCGTTTGTATTGGCTAGCAAGCTGGTCTTTGGATATCGGAAGATTGTGATGGAATTTCGGCAATTTATATTAATTACATTTGCATTCATACACGGAACAAATAGAGTACCTGTAATTGAGTTCCATTCACCCGTTCCATTCGCGCGCGGGAAGTTAATTTTGAGTTAAACGGCTTGAAGTAGTCAACTTCAAACTACTCAATGTTGCGTTGTGCATCACTTAATTAAAATTAACTTCCCGTAGCTGAAGATCCCTATTGGGAGGTTTTGCTCTTCCTTTTTTCACACCAAACGTGAGAGCTGAAGATCCCTATTGGGAGGTTTTGCTCTTCCTTTTTTCACACCAAACGTGAGAGCGAATTGAAGGCACAACTCAATAGTAAGTTTTGTTTTTCCGTGTACGCTTTTTCATGATTCTGTTTAGCTAACGCCTAGAGCGGTTCATGATGGTAATGTTCTGCTGGATGATCTAGTATTTTTTAAAGACATGAATTTTGGAAAACAGACAAATGGCGAGATAGATAATGAACCAACATGAAAAAGTGTACAAGTTTAGCTCACCCTTATTTTACCATTCTTACAAAGAAGGCTGATTGACCTGGACACGTTGGCAGCAAGGAGGAAACTACTTCAGCGACTCTTCGTGTTTGGATTGCTTAACGGTGACGTGGATTGCAACTCTCTTGTGAGCCAAATCTACATCAATGCTCCTCAAAGAGTTCTACGTAGTTACTTGCTTCTGTGGCAACCTACCCATCGGACCAACTATGGATTCAACGAACCGTGGACTTTGTGCTGTCGTGTGTTTAATGAAACGTTTATGTATATGATTTTAACATTAGTAAGTCTACTTACAGACATAGAATTCGACACCTAGCCTAGAAAATATCTGTACAATTAAATAAATAAGTCCTGATGAAGTTCAGGGAAGCCCTGCCGAAAGTCTTACCGAAGTTCAGGAAAGTCCTTCTGAAGTTCAGGGAAGCCTTGCCGATGTTCAAGAAAGTCTTGCTGAAGTTCAGGGAAGTTCTGCGGAAAATCAGAGAAGTTCTGTTGAAGTTCAGGGAAGTTCTGCGGATGTTCAGGGAAGTTTTTCCGAACTATAGGGAAGTCCTACCAATGTTCAGAGAACTCCTGCCGAAGTTCAGAGAAGTTCTACCGAAGGTCAGGGAAATCCTGCTGAAGTTCAGGGAAGTCCTGCCAAAGTTCAGGGAAGGGCTGCTGAAGTTCAGGGAGTCCTTTCATTTCAATTCTAGAAAATCAGGGAAGTCCTGATGAAGTTCAGGGAACTCATGCCGAAGTTCAGAGAAGGCCTGCCGAACCTCAGGGAAGTCCTGCCGTAATTCAAGGAAGGCCTGTCGAAGTTCAGGGAACTCCTGCTGAAGTTCAGTGAAGTCCTGCCGGAGTTCAGAGAAGTTCTGCCGAAGTTCAGGGAAGTTCTGCCGAAGTTCGTGAAATTATCTAATGATCTTTAAAAATACCAAGATATATCAGAATACCTTGATCAAAAGGCTGAAATTATTACAAAATATACTCAAATACTTGTGATACAACTTGATAAATTATAAGATCAAATTGGTTTAAAAAACATTTTATTGATCAATGGCAACACTTGCAGCACCCGTGTTATAAATTGGTCTTGAAAACTTCTATTCGACTTATTTCAGTTATAAACAAGTTGCAGCGACTTTTTGGGACAGAATTGTGCTACTTGGGAAAGGTGGATGATTTCTACAATATTTGAAGATATAGTTCAATTTATCTAATGATCTTTAAAAATACCAAGATATATCAGAATACCTTGATCAAAAGGCTGAAATTATTACAAAATATACTCAAATACTTGTGATATAACTTGATAAATTATAAGATCAAATTGGTTTAAAAAACATTTTATTGATCAATGGCAACACTTGCAGCACCCGTGTTATAAATTGGTCTTGAAAACTTCTATTCGACTTATTTCAGTTATAAACAAGTTGCAGCGACTTTTTGGGACAGAATTGTGCTACTTGGGAAAGGTGGATGATTTCTACAATATTTGAAGATATAGTTCAATTTATCTAATTATCTTTAACAATACCAAGATATAACATCATCAACATCATAACTTCATCAAATAGGCTGAAATTTTCGCAGAATATCCTCAAATACTTGTGAAACAACATGTGAAAATTGAGGAACCTTTGGATTTGAAAAAAAAAAATTACTTTTAGCAATGGCAAAGGTGGGTGATTCTAAAATAGTTCCATTTATCTTTAAAAATATCCAGATATATCAGAAAACCTCCATTAAATAGGCTGAAACATTCACAGAGTATCCTTCAATTAGCTTACACATACACACACTTGAATTGTTTTTATTATTTAACAAATACACACGTTTTCAACACGACTTGCTCTCAATTTAGAAATATTTTTACTATTTATTTTCATGCACTTTCATAGATGACATTGCCGAATAGCATCCGTTTTCAACTATCGATAATTTTTGCAAAGTATTTCGAATTGATAGATAGGGAAAATGTATGAAATGTCGGCGTAAGTGTCCCTAATTTGGGCCCATACATAAATTCAGCAATCGACTAAATTTTCAATAGCAACCAAAAATATCCATTAGTACCGTCCCAATGAGGCGTTAATCTAATACAATTGTTAAATATGCATCAATTATTGCGAATGGAAAACGTGCGAGCATGATCCTGCTGACGGTGCTGATGGTTTTTCTTGTTAATTCATTCATGGATCGCCCCGTCATGTGGCTTTTTTTTCACTTCTCTGTTTTTTGCGAGGGTTCCAAATCACATTGTTCTTCAACCTGGAGCATGCTTACGCACAGATACATGCAAAAGCCAGTTGATTGCTTAGGAAAACGAAATCTAATGCTTGGAATTCCGTTACAAAAAATGGTTTGCATGGTGTGGGAGTGAAATGTGACTTTTCAAACGTAATACTTGTGTAGTTGATGAGAAAAGTTAGCGACCACTATGATTGTGGGACTAAAATTGAACTTTGAAAAGGTTTTTAGAAAATTTAAACAAAAAATCAATCTTGTAAAAATTGCTAGAGATATTCAGACATTTTAGTGATTTAATATTGCACGGAAGAGTTTGTTCGATTGAGCACTGCGTTATTTTGTATAAAATCAATGAAGTGAGTCATTCTAAACCGATCCACTTTCACCTTAAGCAAAACAAACATTAGAACCATTTATGATGTTTTGATTTACCATGGAAGTCAAAAATTTGACTTATGAAACCTACTTTATAAGTCTAAACAATAAAATACATAAATCAGCTTTTGAAATTTAAAAAAAGAGTTATGATCAATCACGAAGGAGCTACTACAAAATGCAAAAAAATTAAGAAATTCTTCAAAATCAAACGCTTTATCAGTTTTTTGCCTACATACAACATTTATTAAAATATAATTGTTACGCGTAACTCTACCAAGCACCTCCTTCCCTCTCAACAAAATGTAACAATTTGTAACACTTCTGCTTTACCGTCCTCCCCCAATTGCGATACGTAATTTGTGAACATACGCTGGTTAAATTTGTTTTTTTTTTATTAATTTTTGTGAACTTCCAAAAGGGTTTGGAACTTGGGTATAATTTTGAAACATTATTTTCAAAAGTTATGTTCCTCAGGGTAGAGAATCGCGTTTTAATTTGTTTTTGCAAATCCCGCCAGATATCTTTCGTGGCAGGATTGTGTGTTCCTTGAAATTGCCTCCTACGAACATTTTTCAGACGGATCAAGAGCTGAAGATCGTCGTCTATTATTAGTGAATCGAATTTAACCTCGCTTTTTGGTACTGAAGCAGCTCTTGCTTCAACTATACACACTTAGAAATAACTAATTTTACACGTGACGGAATCCGTCTTTGACATAAAAGATGAGACGTAAACAAACATGTCATGTAATATTAAGTGCTCCGAGACTGAAAAGTTCGTTACTCGATGAAAAGTACGTTTGATTGAGCTATATTTCGCGTCTGTTATGACATAAATTTATGTCAAAATTGACACTCGTATATCACTCTCAGAGCACCGAAATTTACATGATTTTTTCTTAGTGTGTAGAAGTAGTCAGATCAATCAGCTCTGGAATTGAAAGTAGAGTTGTTTGGATTAGAAATTATTTGTTGGGAAATTTCTAAAGTTACTCGAAGGTGATCAGATCCGTCA